CTCACTGCCAGGAAATTTTCCTTGAGGCTGACTGAGATTCTTAAAATTTTCTGTTCTCACTAGGGATGGAAATGTCTCCCTTCCTCCGTAATCCCCAGGATTTTTCCTCTCTGTCCAAAAGAGGAAAGTTTATCCCTGAACCCAGATAAACATGCTCAAATGAATACATTTCCAGAAAGTTCTTCATCAAAATTCAGACAAATTGAGAGTATTTTTTAGAAACTGTCATTTCCTTACACTCTGATTAACAGTTGTGCCTGCTAGATAAGATGTTTACAATAAATTTTGTAAATCTCTGTATTTTGAGAAATCAGCTGTGGCATTAAGACTGGAATTAGAAGAAATAAATGAAAATAAGTAATCGTTGATAATGTCTATGAAGTCCTAGCAGTGCTTAGCACACAGTATGTGCTCAATAAATATTATTAAGTGTCAACATCATAATGTTATTATGGGCGAATATTTTTATTTCATGAAAAATGATACATATATATATTTATAAATGTGAACATGTATTTATATACAGAACAGGTATATATAAACAGAAAAGAGTCTGTCTTTCCTAATTCCCAGAAATAATCTTTGCCTGTGTGTTAATTCATTGCTGTTTGCTATTTATTTGTTGTCCTATACAGGGAATTTGAAAGGAGAGCAAACTAGTAGAGGTGTGAAATGGCTCATTTATTTGCATTAATTATTAACTTTGAAGCCTCACCAAAATTGTTCTAATATTAGCATTGAAGCAACTTTGGTCATTGATGAAATACCTAATCAATGAATTAAAATGGCAAAATAAGCTTCAGAATGCCACTGTTATCATGGAATAATAGAATGTGAGAAGGGACCTCAGACATCATCCAGCACGATGCCCTCATTTAACAAGTGAGGAACCTGGGGCCCGAAAAAGTAAGGGGACATGTCAGATCAGTCATTCCAAAATGGACTTTTGCCTCCATATCCAGACTCTTGGCAAGCTGTATTATCTGTAAGCCTTTTTATCCCTCTATAAAATCCAAGTCTGGCCAGGTATGGTGGCTCATGCCTATAATCCCAGCACTTTGGGAGGCCAAGGTGGGAGGATCACTTGAGGTCAGGAGATTGAGACCAGCATGGCCAAAATGGTGAAACCTCATCTCTACTAAAAACACAAAAATTAGGCGAGGGCGGTGGCTCATGCTTGTAATCCCAGCTACTCATGAGGCTGAGGCATGAGAATTGCTTGAACCGAGGAGGCGGAGGTTACAGTGAGCCGAGATCATGCCACTGCACTCCAGCTTGTGTGACAAAGTGAGACTCCATTTCGAACAAAACAAAACAAAACACCAAGTCAATCTAATTATGTGAGTCTGTGTGAATCCATACAGTTGAATTGGCCTCTTTGGCCTCTTGGGGTGATGGCCTTGACTACTTCTCAAATACATAAAAGAGAGGTTGATTCTAAAATGATGGAAAAGAAGGGGCCCCAACAAGCATCTCCCCTTAACTTCACCTGTTCTGCTCTGCTGTTATGGATACTGAAAAATACATGTGTGTTCAGGAATATTACCTCACTTTAGAATAAAAAAGTCCATTGCTTTACTTTTGTTTTCCGAGTTGTTTTTATTTTGTTTCCCAGAGACAAGCTCTCTCTTTTGCCTACGCTGGAGTGCAGTGGTGCCATCATAGCTCACTGCAGCCTCAAATTCCTGGGCATCTTCCCACGTGTAAAGGCAGATCCTTTGAACTGTAGTGGGTGACTTGGGCATGAGTCTCTGTACCTCACTAATGCTCCTGCCTTAGCCCCATGAGTAGCTGAGACTATAGGCAGTACCACTATGCCTTGATAATTTTTTTTTTTTTTAGAAATGGGGTTTTCCTATGTTGTCCAGGCTGGTCTTGAACTCCTGGCCTCAAGTGATCCTCCCACCTCAGCCAACCAAAGTGCTAAGATTACAGGTGTGAGCCGCCATGCCTGGCCACCAAATATATTTTTAAATGAGGTTTTTGAAATAGGTCACGTGAATTCTCTCTCATATCTAGGCACAGCATTTTTAGTGAAATTGGTTATTGATGAGTTCAAGAAACCACTTGTCTCTGATTCTCATGTTCCAAATAGGTGGTCCACTTGTGCAGATTAGCCTGAAGTGACATATGCAGAGCCTAAAATGGAGTAAGGGCTGGAGACTCCCAAAAGGCAGGGTATGGGTCCCCTTTATAGTTGTATCTCCAGGCCCAAGTGCAGCTTTTGGTCATTGCAGGTGCTCAGGAAAGTCTGTTGGACAACGTAATGAAAGAGTAAACAAATGACATTTCTGGTTCTTCAGGCTTTTCATAGGAATAAGAGTATCCTTATTCCAATGAATAAGGATAATACAGAGGCAGGCATTTGTGTTTTGTTTTGTTTTTCTTTCTTCCTTTTTTTTTGAGACAGGGTCTTGCTCTGCTCTGTCATCCAGGCTGGGGTACAGTGGCATAATCATGGTCCACTACAGCCTCAACCTCCTGGGCTCAAGCGATTTTCTCACCTCAGCCTCTCATGCAGCCACCACGGCTGGCAAACCTTTTTGTAATTTTTGTAGAGATGGGGGTCTTACTATGTTGTCCAGGCTGGTCTTGAACTTGAGTTCAAGTGATCCACCCACCTTGGCTTCCCAAAATGCTGGGATTACAGCACTATTTTATGCATGTGGCTCACTAGCCGGAAAAGGCATTCTAGTCAGTACTGTCATGAGATCATGCAGAGGCATGACATATGTATATTTTAAAGAAGGAGCAACAGTTGGGAATGGACAAAAGACACAGCCAGGGCACCCTCAGAAGCCTATAATTATACTAGTAACCAAACCTTCCCATAGGAGAGCTCATTTTTAGAGAGGTGAAACTGCGTCTGAAGACATGTTTCTGAGACACGAATGCTGAGATCTTTACCTAGGCATTAGCAATAAAACATCTTTACGCTGATCACATCTTTCCCAGAGACATGAGAAAAGAACATGACTCACCTCATTGGTCTAAAAAGGACATTCTGCTTCCCTTCTTAAAACCTTCCGTGTTGTTCCACTTTTGGTTTTGAATTATAGAAAGATGAATATTTTTGCCTCTGAGCCAAGAAGGCTGTGTGCCGTGTGTCTTTTAGACAGCAGCTACACTTCACACACACTTGCACGCACACACAAAAGTGGTTCTTACCTGATTTTTCCTGTGGCATTTTAGAAATTTGCACTGGGATTTTTAACATTCATTTCTTCTGTCCCCAAGGCACCATCATGAGTCAGTGGAAGGAAAAACATTAACTTCACTTAAGGCTGGAGAAAGTTCAAACGACATGTCGAGAATCACCCGGTGACTCAGAATACCTGCCTGGGCAGTTTCTTCATCCGTTAGAAGGTTCACTTTTCAAACAGCAGGAGACATTTATTCATTTTGGAAGTCTCTTCCGCTGTGTTTCCAAGTGGTCCACCTCTAGATTAAGGGGGGAAATCACCCAGTTTTCACTAGCTACCACAAGTCAACACAGTGAACATAAAAGCTTGTAAAAGATTATTCCCTCAAAATAAATCTATAGTTGGTTATTATCATGCTTGAGAAGTGTTTTTGGAGGTGAGCTCAAGCTTTTCAAGTTGATTTCATGGCACAAGTCTGTGTCCTCATGACCACCCCACATGCACCCCAACAGTGTCCCTGCAAGATAAACGCCCTGGAGGAGCAAGACCAACATCATCGCCTACCTGACATTTAAAATTTTTCTCATATTTGGGTGAAAGCTGGCTTTTCAAATATCTGGGTCACCACTTTTTCAGTCTTTTCCTAGATGCTTGCATTGTAGAAAAATGTTAGCTAGAGAAGGCAATTTAACAAACACTTCCACACTCCAGCAGTTTAGGGTACCACCTTTAGGGCAGCTCATGTCTTTAATCAACTCATGGTAACTCTTGGTTCTAAATGAAAAGTTTCCCTTTTTAATGTTTAGCTGTGGTTGAATTTTGTATTTTCTCTGAATCAATAAAGTAATCTTAGAAGTTGGTTGGCATCTTCTCAGTTTTCCTGCTCCTGCTGGGGCACAAAAATTCTCTCTGCCTCTATTTTATCCCTTGCATGTTAAGCAATCCAGTTCCCTTACCTCTCCTAATCCTTTCCTCTCTCCCTCCAGCTGATGGCTCCTCTCTGAGCCTGCTGGGAAGTTCCTGACTGCGTTCTCTGGGGTAGTTCAGGAATCTACCCTCACCAGTAGCCCTCAGTCTCCAAAACAAAAACAAGACAACTGTTTGCTTGGTACTTTATTATGCTAAAAATGAAATAAAATAAAGAAAAAAAGAAGTGCAAAATGACTCACACACATTCCCCCAGACTAACAGGAGAGTGACTCACCTTCCCTCCTCAGCGTGTATCGCTTATGTCTTATGGGTTAGGACATGGAATCATGCGTAGGTTTCTCCGCCACTTTCTAGAGCCAGTTAAATTCTAAGATCCTCTAAAGTTTAGTAGTCATAAACTGATAATATTAAGTGCTTAGGCATCAAATATAGTAATGAAATGAAAATATGTCTTCCATGAAGACACTGGCTATGACAATGCCCAGCAAAGAAAATCCTTGGAATCTTAACATGGTGATTTCTTGTTGCTTATCGAGATGTGTGGGTTTCCCTTCATTGACGATATTCACATGAGCTACTCCTAGTGCACATGACAAAGAGAACTCAAGGCAAACTTTCATTACAAGTTGAAGGGAAAAGAAGCCAGGCGGATAAATATTTCTATAGATTTATCTTTTTGACAAGTTTACAATATATATTTAAAATACAATTTACAAAATGCTTAGTCTGCTGACTCTGGAGCCTGCAGTGCAGGGTAGGGTAGGGGTGGGCAGCTCCCCCTACACTAGCAGAGCAAGACTGCAGGGGTGCGGCTCTCCCTCCCACGCCCTTCTGTTCAGACATCCAAGGGACCTCATGCATCCCTGGAGTCACACTAGTTTCTATAGATTTTAGATATGAGAAATTACAGACACTGGCTTCAGTTAGTCAAAAGCAAGCGCTTGGGCTTTTTGATCTTTTAATTAAAGTTCTTTTTCCAAAAAATGCGTTCAAACACAACCTTTAACAGCTCAATTTCTAAAATTATTTCATAAAAGGAGGAGAGTGAACAATCCTCTATGTGTGTGTTCTGCAGGACAAATCTTATCACCAATTACTAAAGCAGGAAAGTGCAGCTTGTCAAAAAGATCTTAGTGGAGAAGCGGTGGCGGGGTGGGGGTTGGAGAATATGAAAATGTCATTAAGGACGACAGCCTAGGCACAATAAAAGATGCAGCACTCCAGGGCAGCCCAGCAAAAATGAGAGGTAGCAAAGCTACTTTTTTGTCTGTGAAATCTGCATTAGTTTCATACCCTTTACTAATGCTATCTGAGTCCCTCCAAAGCACCTCACCTTCTGTTGTCTCTATTTCAGCCTAAAGACACCCCAGTTATGGTGTGCACGCCAGGTATTTAAATCTATTGGAGGTGGGGAGCAGCGAAGGAGTTTTGCTCTTCTTGCCCAGGCTGGAGTGCAATGGTGCAATCTCGGCGGCTCACTGCAGCTTCCGCCTCCAGGGTTCAAGGGATTATCCTGCCTCAGCCTCCTGAGTAGCTGGGATTACAGGTGCCTGTTACCACGCCCGACTAATTTTATTTATTTATTTTTTATTTTAGTTTCACCATGTTAGCCAGGCTGGTCTTGAACTCCTGACCTCAGGTGATCCACCTGCCTCGGCCTCCCAAAGTGCTAGGGTTACAGGCGAGAGCCATGGCGCCCTGCCCGCAGCTATTTCAATCCAAATCTGTTTAACTGGAAACATCAATTAAAACAAAAATGGATTTCCTGCAACCAATACCAATTCCTGTGGCCACTCTCATCCGATCTCTTATCTCCACCCGCCAAAAAAAAGGCAAGGAATAGAGCATACAAACTCTTTTCTTTTCATGTTCTCTAAGTAAACCCTGGGTTCTGGTAGGAGCCTGTGTCAACATCCTGCTGTCTGAACTCTCACCCTGTTCAGGGTAGCCAGATTTTACGATTTTAAAACATTAATGGCCATTTTTTTTTTTAAGAACATCTTAAATTTTTAATCTTTTCTTTACAGGTTACCTAGACCACTTTTGATTAAGAAAACTGTAGAAAGTTAGTTAACTGCCACAAGGGAACGCCAGGCGGTGGCATGTGTGAATCTCGAGAGTCCTGCTTTAAGGGGTGTCTAAATGCACTGCACCGGGTCTCTGCTCACACTTGCTGGAACCAATCGTGGCAGATTTTAGTCCACAGGTCTTTTTTCCCCGTATTTTCTTGTAAACTCTTCAGCATTCTTATAGAATTTTTTACGGTCCTTAGAGTATTCCTCAGCTAGGTCAGCCCGAAGCGGGTGCTCAGGCTGGGGGTCATTCACCAGTGCTATAAGGGACTGGATTACTTGGTCGGTTTTGGTCGTTGGCTTCCAGTTTTCAGCACTAATTACCGGCAGACAGACCTGCCCCTTTTCGTCGATGTTCGGGTGATAGATCTTTGTTTTAAATGTGATCTTCGGTGGTTTGAATGGGTACTCGGCTGGAAAGTTGATTTCGATTTTGAAGGCCCCCTTATCATATGGAGGGTTGTCAGGAACAATAAGCCCTTGCCAAATAAATAAGTTAGCTTCATCAACCTGGATGTTACGGAAGTTTTCCATTCTACAGTTGCGGATTTCTTCAAGCTCCTTCATCAGCCTGCTGCTGGCCGCCATCTTGGATTTGGTGCTGCTCCTTTCCCAGAATGCATCGCGGTAACGGCCACTTACAATATTTGCATATGAATACGCTCAAATAAAATTCCGATGTGGCAGTTTGAACTTCCGCTGAGCAAAGCAACTTAGCCATTGATTAGTTAGAGTGATCATCCACAATCCTACACATGATAATTTTTGCTTTGTTTTTGAGCCAGAGTCTTGCTCTTTTTGCCCAGGCTGGAGTGCACTGGGCACCATTTCGGCTCACTGCAACCTCTGCCTCCTGGGTTCAGGCAATTCTCTTGCCTCGGCCTCCCAAGTAGCTGGATTACAGGCACACCCCACCATGCCCAGCTTTTTAAAATTTTTATTTTTAGTAGAGATGGGATTTCACCATGTTGGCCCGGCTGGTCTCCAACTCCTGACCTCAAGTCATCCGCCCACGTCGGCCTCCTAAAGTGCTGGGATTACAGATATGAGCCACTGCGCCGGGCCTTACACATTATAATTCTACCTGCATATTCACCTGTTGCCTGACTGAAGACTGATATTATATGTAGATCAGATTGCTCATCTTGCATTTCAAAGCACAAAGTGAGATCCTTGGTGTTTGAATATTTTTCCTGAAGAATTTCTGTTAATCCAGTTCATGTTCTCAACAGGAAGTAATTCAGACATGGGAAATGATAAAATGTATCAACTGAGAGCCAAAGATGATAATGAATAGAGGTTAAATATACAACAATACTCATGCAAAGGGATAGAAATAATATATTTTGAGGCATTTTCACGAAAAGTTGTCACATTAGAGTACAAATGTATACTTATTTGAATTTTCAGATATAACTCACTTTGTAGACGATTTAATATACTGAAACCTGTCATTTTAATTATAAAACTGGACTTGAATTTCTGTAGAACAAGTATTATACCCAGAATGACATGAAAAGTTCAGTAAGAAGGCAGCAAAACTTATTTAAAGGTAAGATGATCTTTTACAATAAATTATTAATGGTACTACTCAAAATAAGTTATGGAATATGAACACAAAGTAGTCAGAGTTATATTTGGCATGAGAACTAAGGAGCTTAAAAAGAAAAGCGGTATTAGAACAACAAAAAATGGGACAGCAGTCACTTGGCTTCGATGAGCCTTCTCTGCAATATTCTGTAAGAAGAGAATACACAAGTTGCATTTTTAAAAGTTACCTTGTTGTGGAAGCTTCTGAATTTTGGAAATGAGTGGTTGATCTTGATCAAAGCCTGGAAGAAACACAGACATTGTGAATCAAAATGGAACAGGATAAGCAGAGAGTTCTCTTCTAGCTACAGATAAAATCACCACCTGAGCGTAGACTGTGTAGACCAGGGTTAGAAAAGAAGTCCATTTGGCAGGAAAATAAGGTGAGAGTCAGAGAGCAAATAAGATTGCAGCAGATGTCAGGATACAGAAAACAACTGAACAGGTGAGAATTCAAAATAGTATGTTTATATGGCCTGTATTCCCCAACTAAAAGCACCATGTGGGCAGGAATTGTACTCCTGTCCACTGCTATAACCCCAGCTTCTGGGCCAGTGTCTGGCTTGTGGAAGTTGCTCCATACATTCCCCCTCGCCACCCCTCACTATTGTGTAAACCTCGACTCGAATTCATACTTTTTTTTTTGAGACGAAGTTTCCCTCTTCTCATCCAGGCTGGAGTGCAGTGGTGTGATCTTGGCTCACTGCAACCTCTGCCTCCCAGGTTTAAGCTATTCTCCTGCCTCTGCCTCCAGAGTAGCTGGGATTTCAGGCATGCGCCACCACACCCAGCTAATTTTTTTATTTTTAGCAGAGACTGGGTTTCACCATTTTGGCCAGGCTGGTCTCGAACTTCTGACCTCAGGTGATCTGCCCACCTGGGCCTCCCAAAGTGCTGGGATTACAGGCATGAGCCACCAGGCCTGGGCCATAAATATTTGATGAGTGTATAAACATAAGCTGAAGTTTCAGAAGATAGATATGTCCCAGAAAATTAAGTCCCACAGGTATGTGATGAACACCCAATCCGTACTATGTTAAGTGTTGGCATGTAATGCAAAAGTAACTGTTATCTAAGACTCAGTAATAAGGGATGAGAATGCATGGCACTAGGTGGGGAGGAGCAACTGTCTTTGGGAAGAAGGCATTAGAGATGGTACTGAATGGTGAGTAGTAGGAAAGGCAGGGACTGGAATCCAGTGCCTGGCCCTGGGCTTTGTATTCTATTTCCAAGCACCCTGAGAACAGGAACCACTTCACCTACCTTTGAATGCCAAGCACCTGCCTCACTGTGTTTCTAGTAGATGCTCAGTAAATGTCCATGAATTGATAAGTAGACAATTGGGATCCAGGCAGTGCATGCAATGGAGCTACAGGATCAGCATGCTGGCTGGGACCAGCCAGGGAATCAGCCAGGGCCTATTTCCTTGTTCTCTGTCTCATCTACTTGAACAACTGTGGCCAATCCAGGATGGGCACTGTCACAGTGTGGCCTGAGAAATCCTCCCCCAGGATTAAACATTAAAATGTCAACCCTCAGGCCCCTTTGGGACTTCTTGAATCAAAATCCTGAGTGAGAGGACAGAAACTGGAGTGTAAATCAGGTATCCAAGAACTAGGCACTGCGGCTCATGCCTGTAATCCTAGCACTTTGGGAGGCTGGGATGGGAGGATTGCCCAGTCTGGGCAACATAGTGAGTCTGGTCTCCACAAGGAAAAAAATAAAAATTAGGTGGGCAAGGTGACACACACCTGTAATCCTAGCTACTTGGACCAGGCAGATCATTGGGCTCAGGAGGTTGAGGCTGTAGTGAGCTGTGATTGACTGCACTCTAGAAACTGAAATCCTAAGAGCAAGAGAAACAACTGTATTGGGTGGGCACTGTGGGCCAGGTACTGTTCAAGGTACTTTCACATATAGTCATTTATTTATTTTTAAATTTGCTGTAAACTCTCAGCAGACACATATAGTAATTTAATATGCAATAATCCACAGAGGTAGCTTGATTATAACTATCTGTGTTGGAGGAGACGAGCTCAGGGATAGTATATGACTTGCTTAACACTGTATGGCAAGTAACTACTGGGATCCAAATTCCTGCGCTTAATTTCAGAGACTCTCCTACATCTCACGACACCTTAGGGAAATGCAGAATCCAGGAAACCAGGACCGTATGCTGTGCCTGTCTTCAGGAAATGTACGGTCAGCCTCTATTGGCTGAATCTGCCTAAATGAATCTCTGGAAATCGAGAGTTGAGGTTATAACATTACATAATTCTGGATCCTAGAGTGTCAGAGTCATCTACGACTTTAAAAATCCTAGTAAGTCCAAGCACTGGGTACAGTGGTTTGTCTGAATCCGGACTAGAAAATTCACACGTGTAGAGTGGACAAGTGCCTTAACAGAATGAAGGCAGAGGTGGGGGAAGACAGCTGGAGAGGTTCAGACTGTCACCCCCACACCTAACACTGCTGTTGGCTCCAGCCAACAGTTTCACCCACGGTGTCCCTGTCTTCTCATGCTTCAGAGAAACCCAAAGTCCAGCTTTCCATCTGGAACATCATGATTTTGAAATATCCATAACTGATTCAAAAGTTTAAACTACACCCCCCAGGCCAAACAAACAGGTCTGGAAGACAAGTTCAGGCCTATGGAGCTCCAGCATGCACCCTCTGGTTGGGAACAGACAAATCCCAGGGCATTAAGCTACATAAAGTAACTTGGATATGGTTTAGTGAAAACGGTTTCCATCAGAACCTGCCTGTGCATCTGTTGGCATGAAGGTGTATCCCTACCACTATTTCTGGTTTAATTTAGGAAAATATGCATTGCATCATCTTTTGATTTTATACAAGTGTATCAGATGTGGCCTGAAGGCCCAATTTTTGTAGATTGGAATTGCATCTTTCTATTACCCTACCTTCCACCATAAGGATGCCTCATTCTGGTTTTTGGGTGATCTTCAATGGGCACTGGGCAATTTTAAATGTATGATTCCCCGGCCTTTCAGTTTATTTCATTTTTTTGAGACAAGGTCTGGCTGGAGTGCAGTGGCACTATCTCAGCTCACTGCAGCTTCCACTTCCTAGGCAGCGCATCCAATGGAGCTGCAGGATCAATCAGCATGCTGGCCGGGACCAGCCAGGGAATCAGCCAGGGTCTGTTTCTTTGTTCTCTGTCTCATAATGCCATCCTCCTTCCTCAGCTTCCCTAGTAGCCGGGACTACAGGTGTGCACCACCATGCCTGGCTAATCTTGTATTTTTTTAAGAGACAGAATGTCACTATGTTGCCCAGGCTGGTCTTGAACTCCTGGACTCAAATGATCCCCTCCGCCTCGGCCTCCCAAAGTGCTAGGATTACAGGCGTTATAACTACACCGGGCTACACAGTTTATTTTAAAGGAAAAGAGAGTAAACTCTCAGGGGGAAGAAACTCCAGTTTAACAACACTCTGTATTGTATCTGCTTTGCTGTAATCGTATTGGAGATTTTCTAGATGGGACTTCTCTGTACTGAAGCCTTAAACCTGCTGTTTATCGCAGAAGTTATCCATATCTGTCTCTCTCACACACATGCACAAAAACTAGATGATGTGTGATTTCCTATATATGACACGATAACATTTTAAAACAGTAAGTCTAGGAAAACGAATTGAGTTTTATCATCGCTATTATTTAATGATTTTATCATGTTACTTTATGTTGAATGGCTATGGAATAATTAATTAGGTTTCGTTGTTTTTAATACCTCCACAGTCTAAATAATAAACCACTCTCCCAACATTGGCATCGCTTTAGAAGAGATTTTCTTATCTATTTCATGGCACAGTTAAAAAGGTGCCTCTCCCTCTGTGTCCTAATTTTTACAACGCGTGTGCATTTATTACGTGTCATCAAACGAGGCAATGCTAACCTAGCAAAGCAAAAATCATCAGCAGAGCAAATTAATGCAGTGTCACCTGCTGACCGATGTTAAACGCGGCAGAGACGCACAAGCATCCGTGTGAATGGATTAAAAAGGCACTTACAGGGATGACCCGCAAAGATCCTAGTTTCAAGAGACAACAAAAAGCCTCCAGGAAGTGAAGCCGGCAGGTTCTAATCTCATTTATTTCCATGGCTATGTTTTTTTTTTCTTTAATTGTAGTTTTCCACTGTAAAACCAAAGAGCATCAAAGGAGAAGAACAGCTTCCCCACTCTCGGAAGCCTCGCGGAGCCGAGTTCCCCGAGCGCCCGACCCTGCCTGCGCCGTCGCCACCGCCGCATCCACCACCGCCGCCGCGGCGGGGAAGCTGGGCTGGGCTGGGCTGGGCTGGGCTGGGCTGGGCTGGGCGGGGAGGGGCGGGCCGGGGCGTGGCGGGCGTCGGCAGTTATTTATTTAGCGGCTGTAGAAAAGCTCTGCTGCGCTCGCGAAACCCAAAGACGCCTTCTAGGTAGCAAGGCGGCCTCACCCGTCCAACAGCTCCCGGGCTTGGGAGAAACTAAGGAACTCGCGTCGCCCGCCCGCAGCTCCCCGGGGCCGCGTGTCCACCCGCGGCGCTCGCCCTCCCCGCTCCTCCCCACTTTCTACCCCAATCTC